CCCCGTCACGCCGCGCCGGCCCCGTCACACTGTGCCGCCCCGTCCCGCCGGGCTGGCCCCGCTACGCCGCGCCGGCCCCGTCACGCCGGCCCCGTCCCGAGTAGCAGAGCCGCCGCGTCGCCGAGTTGCCGAGTCGCCGTGCTGCTGTGTCGCCCCGACCTGACGGCCTTGGTTCCCCCTTCTGTGGCGGCTCTCCTGCCGGCCCACTCCACCGTTACTCTCCACCGCCCTCTCTTCCCCCTCCCCTAGCGGCGGTTAGCTGCTGCAGCCGTGGCGAAGGCAGACGCTGTGCTCTGCCTAGACGCGGAGGGTCGCGCGATCGACTTTGAGGCGTAGCTCGCCGACCTCCGTCGCTCGTTGAGGGGACAGCGCCAGGATGGCCAGTTTCTGGCTGTTCACGTCGACAGTAAGATCCCCTGCCCCGACCCGCCTACTGTTCTCTCTGACGCCCCCACGCCCGCTGAGCGTGAGGCCTTTGCAGCTGCTGAACTCGCTCGCTCCGTCTGGGAATCGCGTGACGTAGTTGCGCAACTTGCTATCAGTCGCGCCCTCCCCCTGTTTGAGCGCCCCCGCTATCAGGCCATAGAGACTGCGCAGGCGTACTTAGATGTTCTTATTGCACGCTATTCTATCCCCTCCTCCGCCTTTGCCGGTCGTCTCTTCCTCCCTCTGCTCTTCCCTGACCTTATGTCTTTTCCCACTGTCACTGATCTCGCCACTCATTTGCGCGCACTAGACACTATCTACCGCGCTGCTAGCACTGAGGCTCAGCTTCTTGTACTGCCTCCCCCCCTCGGCGCTACCCTCTACATTCTTACCACGTGCCTTCCTGACCGCCTAGCCACTGCCCCTGACCACTTCCTTGCCCTCCACCCTGCTGACCTCACCCTCACTGACTTTGTCACTACCCTGACCGCGATATAGACTCGCCAGTGCATAATCGCTCAGTCGAGCGGTACTGCGGCGGTCCATATCTTCCAGGGTTGTGCTCCCTCTCAGTGCACTTACTCTCACGCCTTTGCCGCTATTGCTGAGACGGCCCCTGCTGCTGAGACCGCTATGGCGGCCTGAGCGCTGTCGCGTCAGGGTAGGGGACGCCAAGCCCGGGGGGAGCATGGCAGTGGGAGGGGTGGCGGGGGGGGCGAGGGTGGCGGAGGTGGCGGAGGTGGTGGAGGGGACGGTGGTGCAGACGAGGGGACCGGTGCTGGTGCCCCGGGGCAGCAACCTCATCAGCAGCAGCAGTCGCCGTGGGCGCCCCCGCCTCTGTGGTGGCCAGGCGGTTCTGGTGGTGGTGGGGGGCGCAGCTCGGTGTCGGGTCGCGGCTCCAGTGTGGTGACCTGCTAGTACCAGTTTCAGTCCGGCCCCCGCCGCGGAACCGTCTATGACCGCCCCGGTCACACCGCGGCACGCTGCTACCGCCGCCTCGACGACCTCTTCCGTCTCCGCTTCGGCCCCACAGCGGACCCCCCTGACAGGTACAACCTGGTGCGTCGTCGTGTGCCTGTCTTTTAGATGGACATGGATAAGATTAGGTCTGCTTTGTATGCCATGTACTGTATGCTGATGACTCTAGTGTGACTGGACCCTATTATCCAGTGTTTCCTAGCGTAGGTGTATCCGCTGTGTGTAGGTTCCCCTGCTGCGTCAGGCGTAGGACCCCCTGCCTTGTATAGCCTAGGCTACACGCTAACCCCTCCGCCGGCGGACGCTACTGCTTCGCTCTCCTTCACGCTTGACTCTGGAGCGTCTGCCTGCTTCTGGACGTCTGGGGGCCAGCCCCTGTCGATGGGCCGCGTCGCGAGCGCTACTTCTAGTGCTTGTCGACGACTACACGCGCTACACCACGGTGTTTCCCCTGGAGCGGAAGGCCGATGTGCCTGGCGTTCTTATCACGTGGTTCGTAGCTGCGCGAGTCGACTGTGGCCTCCCTGTGCTGCGTCTCCACTCCGACCGTGGCGGCGAGTTTGCCTCCGGTCGGCTTGGCCAATTTTGTCGTGCAGAGGGCATCACCCAGTCGTACACCCTACCGGACTCCCCGTAGCAGAATGGGGTCGCTAAGCGACGCATCGGTTTGGTCATGGATGTGGCTTGCACTTCCATGATCCATGTCGGTGCACCCCATTTTCTATGGCCGTTCGCTGTTCGCTACGCCGCTCACCAGCTGAACCTCTGGCTGCACTCCCAGCGGCCGCAAGTTTTGCCGACCCTTCTCTGGACCGGATTCCCTGGTGACACGTCTGTGTTCCACGTCTGGGGCTGCCTTTTTCAGGTTCGTGCCTCTGTCACGGACAAGCTCACTGCCCGCACTGTCCCCTGTGGCTTCCTTGGCTTCCCCCTCGACATTTCTGACTGGCACTTCTATCACCCGCTGTCTCACCGCTTGTTTTGCTCGCGTGACGTCACTTTTGATGAGTCTCGCTCGCTTCTCTCGTTGTTCTCCTCCTATGTCTCCTCTTGCGTCTCTTGACCCCACGCCTCTGTCCCACTTCTGGTCTCGCCGTCCCTCTCGTGCCCGTCCTGTCTCACCTGTTTAGCACTCTCACCCTATGTTGCTCCGTTCCCACGCGTCTCGTCCTCCCCTCCTCCCGTCGCCTCCTCCGTCCTCGCTTGTAGTCGCTCCGCCTCCTCTATCTGACTTCCTTCGTGCCACTAGTCCTCTCGTTCCTCGGGTCCTTGCCTGAATCGTTACCGACCCGTCTGTTCGTGTCTCCAGTCTTGACGCTTTTGTCGCTGCTGTCGCTGACTTCGCCTCTACCCACCGCCTTGACTACGCCACCGCTCTTGTCTCTGACCGTATTTGTCTTCCGTCCGTTGGGGGTGCGTCTGCCCTTGGCAGTGACGTCCTAGAGGATAGGCAGTTCGAGCTTGCTTTCCTGTCCGGGGCTGCTCCACATCTCTGCTCCATGTTGCTGGTCCCTGAGGGTGACTCTGGCTTCTTTGACATCCCGACCCCTCGCACTTACGCTGAGGCGACCACGGGACCCTGGGCCTCTCAGTGGATAGCTGCGATGGAGCAGGAGATGGCATCATGGGGATCCACTAGCACCTACGTCGACGCAGTTCCCCCACCTGGGGTGAACGTAGTCAATGGCCGGTGGCTCTTCAAGGTGAAGCACCCCCCTGGAGAGCCGCCTGTGTTCAAGGCGCGCTACGTGGCTAGAGGCTTCAGTCATCGTGAGAGGGTGGGCTTCCTTCAGTCCTTCGCCCCGACCACCAAGATGACTACTCTTCGGGCACTGCTACACGTAGTAGCAGAGCGTGACTATGAGTTACACTCCCTCGACTTCTCCACTGCGTTTCTTCAGGGCAACCTACACGAGCAGGTCTACCTGCGCCGTCCTCAGGGCTTTACTGGTACCTTCCATCCTGGGACCCAGTGGCTCCTTCGGCGCCAGTCTACGGCCTACGACAGGTGCCCCGTGAGTGGCACGACACGCTGCGTGCTATGCTAGCTGACCTGCAGTTCTTTCCATCCTCTGCAGACCCCTCGCTCTTCGTTCGTGCTGGCCAGACTCCGTTCTACATCTTTGTCTACGTAGACGACCTGGTCTTCGCTACTACAGACAGAGACGCGCTGGCCTCCGTGAAGGCCGAGCTGCTGAAGAGACACACCTGCACTGACCTAGGAGAGCTGCGCCGCTACCTTGGCCTGCGGATCTCCAGGGACAGAGCAGCGCGCACCATCACTCTCACACAGTCACACTTGATGCGTCAGGTCCTTCAGAGGTTTGGTCTTCCATTCTCCTCCGCACAGCCCACACCTCTGCCAGTAGATCACAGGCTCTCAGCTCCAATTCCTAAAGAGTCACTAGAGCCCAGTGGTCCTTACGCAGAGCTGGTGGGTTGCCTCATGTATCTGATGACTTGCACTCGTCCAGATCTCGCATACCCTCTGAGCATCCTGGCTCGCTTTGTGGCCACAGGCAGACACCGACCACAGCACTGGTCAGCCGCTAAGAGGGTTTTGCGTTATCTAGCAAGTATATCGAGCATGGGGCTAGTGCTGGGAGGACGCAGGCCAGTGGTCCTTACTGGGCACACAGACGCTTCTTGGGTAGACGACGCTGAGACGCTCAGGTCCTCCCAGGGCTACTGCTTTAGCCTTGGTTCGGGTGCCATCTCGTGGAGGTCCACTCGCTCCTCGTCTGTTGCCCAGTCTAGCTGTGAGGCTGAGATCTACGCCTGTGCCATGGCGGCACAGAAGCTCCGCTGGCTGACATTCTTGCTCATTGAACAAGGTGAGCGGCCTAGTTCTGCCCCGGTCTTGTATGCTGACAACACGGCCATGATCCTCCGGTGTTAGGAGCCTCGACTTGAGGGCAGAGCGAAGCACATCTACCTGCGGTACATCCTCCTGCGCGAGCTACAGCAGCGCCGCTAGGCCCGCGTAGTACACTTGGCCTCCGGTGCCAACACAGCTAATATCTTTACTAATGCGCTTGCGCCTAAAGATAATCAGCGACACTTTTTGCAGCTTGGTCTAGTTCCTGTAGACTCTCCCTTGCTTGGATCTTGATTGTGTACTCCTCTTTATATATATCGTTCAGACTGGCCTTGGGGCTTCTCTTCCAGTGGCCAGACTTGTAGTGCCGCCCTGTTTTGCTCTTGTCTTGTTTGTACTCTAGCTGACTGGTCTTCGGACCCCTGTCTCAGAGGTTGGACTAGTAGTGCCACTCTGAGCTGTGTGCTTCTTGCTCAGCACCATCCCTTATCTAGCCTAGGGGGTGTGTCAACTTATACATACATTTGCATGTAGAAGTTATAAGCTAGAATAAGTGTGTGTTCCTTAGAGAGTACAAACCAAACCCTATATCTCCCTTGTTTCCTCTTCCTTCTTATCATTGCGTTTTTCTAACTATGGGTCCATCCTATGCCCCCGTGACTGGCGGTCTGTCATGTGACAGACTGCCCTGCTTGTTTTATCCATTGGATTCGACTGACTGCCTGTCAGTGCTGTTGTTACCATACGTGCATTCATTCATCGGTTGCTGTGAATGATT